TTCAACTTTCAACACTGGAGCAAACAGAGAAATTGTAAATATGATAACCTGAAGGATAAAAAATAGTTATCTTTTCCTTCAGACACGGTTTGGGCATCTTTCTATATCTGACCTTCAGCAACAGAGCTGACAATATTACCAACTCCCTATGTCACTGAAAATCTTTTACTGTGCTTGCACTCGTTGCAGTTTTAGAAGGTTAATTATGTTACATACAGAATTTTTGTTTATTTTGGGGTGTATTTATCATAGCATTCTTGCTTTTAACATTATATGAGGATTTTTATTTTATTTGATATAATTTGATAAATTTTTTTGAACAGCAGTTTTTAAGAGAATTTGGAAGAAAAAAAATTTTCTACTATGAATTCATAGTGATTGCATCTTTAAGCCATTTTGAATAATAAAATGCTTAAATGGGCATCCCAGTTTTGTAAAGCATGGAGACATGTACGTTGTAAAGTCACTTATTGTACCAACTCTGGTTTACACATTATTCATTTTTTAAAGTATACTGTAAACATTCAAGTACTTAAGAATGTTAAGCCTAAACTGATTAATATCTAAACTACACACCTTATCTGCGTTTGCCTCATATCTATTGAACTTAACTTCTTTACTGTTCTCTTTACAGAAAATGTTACCTTGTGAAAACATTCTAAATAAAAATATCAAAACAGTTGATCAAACTAGAAAATCAAGAAGAAAATCTCATGGTCAAAAGTCATATTCTAAGCATAAAAAGGAAAAGGTACGAAAGGGAAAGATCTGCCGTTCACATCTGAAGCACTCTAAAAATGCTTCTGAATATATAGGAGCTGAGCGTTTAACTACTCAAGTGGGTTTCTTTACAAAAGGAAAAATTTCAAATTCAATTTCCCGTTTGGAAAAATTTGTACCTGATGACATAAAAGCTCGAGCTCGTCAAGATTTACATAAAGTTTTAAAATTTGCTAATGGTTCAAAAAGTACTTATCACAGGCCTATAGTATCAGATGTAAAAAGCAGTAGTGGTAGTAGTAGTAATGTGTCTTTTCAAAAGGTTTCAAACCCTCCATTACTTGCATCTCCTATAAAAAGCTTTACAAGAGATTCATGGAAAGCAAAATTGGAAAAGTCTGTTGGAACAGTATCTTCCAAATCTATATTTTCATCCGTAAAACTTACACAACAGAGTAGTCCTATGTCTAATGAAAATGAAATTTTTGAGGTTTACAAAATAGTCATAAATAAATTGCATCCAGCAGTTAAAAAAACAAATAATTTACTATTTCCAGGAATTTCAAATAATGACCAATTAAAACACGAATTAATGGATTTAAGGCATAAATTTGCACCTGTTAGTGTTACAAATAGTTCTTCTGCAAGAACAGATGTTTGTAATTTTTCAGCAAACAGTTCAGAAAATGAAACATCAGATGATGAAAATGATTTTGTATTTAAACCTGTATTGACTCAAGATTCTTCTGATGTGAAAGATTTTGCAAAATTTTTTCCAGTAGTAGAAAGTGATTCAAGCTCAGGAAGTTCTGAAACAGATGTGCAGCAGTTATCTTCATTTAAAAATACTTCCTTATCTGATTGTGATATACATAATAATAAAGGCTACAATGCTATTTCTAATAATAAAAATTCCTATATTGATTTAATATTAGGCTCTCCATCTCCTGGAGGCTCTCCAGTCTGGAAACCTCAAGTAGATGAGCCATTGAAGTTCTCTATTAGGGAAACCTCACCAATGAAATTTGAACCAAACCTGCCACCAACTCCAAACTTTTACTATCGTAAGAAGATGTTTTGAGATATACAGACTTCACAGATGAAGTGTTTTACTGATGAAACTAAATCTTGCCATAAGTTTTGTATGATAATATTTATGCTTAAATGAAAACTTAAAATATTATATTTTAATAAATATTTTTTTCATAGGATGTACATGATTTCATTATAAACTTTATTGAGAAGAGTAAAGTAATTTTCAGTAGTTTCAAAATATCTGCTTTTCATTCAGTCTTCTGATCTGTTAATTTCAAGGTAGAGGAAAATGTGGTATTAAAGTTTCTTTTGGTGTAATATTTTGATGTATGATTCAAACTAGTGATATGTAATTAATTTTTTTATTGCAAATAAAGTTTTACCATTTTATGTATCAATTTTAGAACCTAATATGAAAGTATGCAAATAAAAACATTAAAATTTAACTGATTAATTATGAAAATTTCAGTTTCTTAAACAGGTTTACACTAAATAATCTCAATAGTTTTTCTTGGAACAAATACTTTCATGGTAGAAGGCACAGGTGTACAATTCTGGCTAATGAATGTTTATCTCAAGATAAGATAATATATATATATGATCAGAGCCAGGACAAGAGTGAGGGAAATGATGCACATGCCTCGGGTGAATAACTAGATGGGACACCAAATTAGCTACAAAAAGTTTGAAATTCATATTAAATCATTCATCTTTATCTTTTAACATTGAAACACATCAAGAAGTATCAATAGAATTTTGTGAGTCCAGATGAAGTAAGAGAAAAATTACCGTAATTTTCGGAAGAAACGCCGCAGCACTTACGTGTTTAAAACTTAAATTTTCAGCGGGTGCAGCGTTTCTACCCATGTGCCGTTTAGGTGCACTAAAAATAAAATATTTCCTATGATGGTCATTGTACATAGTTTGGATGGCTGTCATTGGCATAGATAGGCTGTCCCCGCACAAAAGACCTCAGTGCTTTTGCGAACGTTATTTGTTTACTTTCTTCCCTTGACGCCTACATTCCTATTCACCTAAACGAGATATAGAACAATACATTCTCCCCCTTTTCAAATCAACATTCTCATCAGTTCGAATAGTGTCTCTCCTCTGCCATTCGATGAATTTCCAGGGCCCTCCTCCCCCACCCTGCCTTTTCTGCAATTTTTTCAAAGGCGGACCAGACTAACCTGCTCGCAATAACGAACTCACGTACCCCCAGCATGCGCGCAACGCCAGATACGATCCCATCCCTTTTGGGTACAAGTACGGTTGATAGTTTGTAAGAAGGGAGAGGGAAAAAAGCTAAAGGCCCGACAGCTTAGCCGGGGCTTAGTACAATTTACGTGCTGAACAAAGGAAAAAGCACAGCTCTAGAGTTGAAGTGGACGACAGATGTATTTGACGTTGGAAACTGAAAAAGAACTTCTTAAAATATGCCACAACGAAACGAGCCAAAAGTAGTGGTACTGTAAGGGGCCAAATCGAGAGAACGACCTTGCAAACTGGATCAGGAGCAACGAGGAAAGGAATGGCAATTTCGACTGTAAAAATTCGCTTACAAGCAAAATTATAGCAAAAACGATGAACATAAATGATTCAAAGGAGGTGTAGATTTATGAAAGAAAAAATATTTCTGTGCGTACTAGAACAACAGTCGGGCAACAATTACCAATGGACGGCAGATAAAAGTCATCTTTTCTAAAATATGTGACGCTATTATTGACAAAAAAACTTCTTCAGTCGCAGATAAATAAAGATGAAAATGCCGTTAGCTTCGACTCTCCTGCAAACAACTGTTGATGAACTGGTGCAAAAAAACTGTATCTATGTTTATGACGGGCATGAAGAACTCATTTACATGTTGAGCTTGTGCCGCAAACGGTGACAAGCTAAAGCCGATGATCATTTTTAAACGAAAAACTTTCGAAGGGATGGTATGTCATATATCAGACTTAGTTGAGTTTTTGCATTATACGCCCACGACGATGTCACGCGCAAGTTAATCTATGGGGCGTTTCTGTGTAATTTTAATTTTTTCCCTGCCATTTTTCTCGAGTGCGGCGTTTACGCTGATGTGGCCTTTCTTCCGGAAATTACAGTAATAACATTAATTTATTAAAAAAATTGGCCTTTTACAGTGCTCTATATGCACTACTTTTTAACATTAAAAATTATAATTGGAAATAACCCTTGAAATTAATTTATGTTTGTTTACAATGTATTGAGCTGCTTAGATTAAACTTGCCTAGAAAGCACTCTGCTGCAGACATTTGTAATTCATTACCATCTCTTTTTAATTTCAAGTATAGCTTTTTTTTGTTTTTACTTTGCCAAAATAAGCTTTCTGAAGTCCACTAACTGAAAATTGATAGTGATGTAACTGCTTTCAATTTCTAGCCCCAGAGCTAATACATAAAGGCCTATTGGAATAGCATCAGAAGTCTAAACATTGTTGTTTGAAAATGAAATGTATGGTATTTTCAGTGTTTTGGGGTCTTTTTTTTGGGGGGGGGCAGAATTTGCCATTGAACGAGATGAATATTTCAAGGTCTTATCTTGTGTTCATATTCAATTTTCATGGGATCTGCATAGCTGGTTTCCTGTATGGTTTTTCTGAACCAATTACATATATTATTGGGCAGATTAAGTGAATCCGTATATTAGTTTTCCTTGTACTTTGTAAAGGCTGGAATATAAACATATAAAGTAGAACATGGATTCTTCTTTCCCCTCCCTTTCTTTTTTTTTTTTGGAATAAAAATTCAATTAACTGATGAAAGATGTACTGATGTTAAAGAATGGTTCCTTATTTTAATCTATTTTAAACACGAGACTGTTTGCTTCAGGAGGGATGCTTTTGTGAAGGGTATTCTAGAGGAACAATTTTGTTTTCAGGTTACACATGAGAAATGCCCAAAAATGTATGCAACCAACCCATTCACTATGAGCTGTATCATGACAGGCAGCTGGTATTATTCACTTTGCTACTCATGGGCTCAAATATTAACAGAAACCCAAGAAGCACCAAACTTGTTTCACAGTTCTCTGATATGAAAGTTACAAATTTTATTTTATCATATTGAAAGGGATTATTTGTTGATCTATATTAAATTTGAAAATATGGGAAAAGAAGAAGCTGTAAAATTCATTGCATTTAACAGAATTCAAAGCAGCAATCGTAACATGCTTGGATAATTTTAGGTTAGGTTATTTAATTACGGCAAAGCCTCGAGGGCTATCTGCCTAAGGGGATGGATGCCTTCATGGAGGACTTTCTTAAGGAAAATTGGCTCGTATACACGTTACACATGTGGAAAACCACAAAACCACCCATGCAGCGAGCGCGTTCGCGAGATTCAAACCTTGGACTACCAGTGTGTAGCGATAAGCATAAGACAGGCAAACTGTTTCAATGTGAAAACCATGTTCAGTTTCTTTTCAATCTACATAGGATTATTAGTGTAAGAATTGTCATGTGTTTGGGGATTTTAATGAATTAATTGTGGTAGAAAATTATTAAAAAAATCATGTAAAAAAACCGTAGCTTTTGTTCAAGTATAGGATATATTCTGTTATAGGATGACACATGCTAAACAGCTTTCTTCAATCCACCTGTTAGCCAGTGATAAAAAAATAAAATGTGTTACGAACATTTCGTATTTCCTCGAATGTTCATATTACTAAAGAAATAAAATTAGCAGCTTTTTCTATACATTCTGAATGTATTTAGTTTTTGTAGAATAACAAAAATCTTTAATGAAATCCAAAAATTCTAAAATGAAAGGGAGTCATGTTGAAGAAAGAAAAAGAGAAAGAAAATTATTTTTCAAAGTTATGTACAGTTATTATTATGTAAATTACCCAGTTTGTGATTTCAAGCCTTTACTATAATTTCTCATTTCTATTTCCTCATCGGAATGCAAATCACTTAGACAGTTTTTAAACTGAGGTTTTTGGAGTGCAAGACAGAGTGTGTTTCTGACCTCTGCTTCCTTGCTGCATTAGCTCCTGTCAGCTCTGATAATTTGTAGTTTTTTGTCCTTGCATTATCGCTGGTGACATTTGAATTTTTTATGACAATATAGTTACTCAGTTTAAATTAAAATTAAATTGTATAGTCTTTGACTACACGTCCGCATTTTTATTTTGAATTTAACTCTTCTTTTTTGATTACATCACCATGAGCTATAATTGATTTTGTTTGCATAAGAATATGCCTTTATGTTCTAGATCCTTTTTAAATAAGACGCTTATTTAAACCTTTGCCTGACTTTGTAATTACTTTCAGACATAGTGATAATTTGTTTCACATCTGCCGAGGGGGTTTTGGACTATTTAACTTTTACCAGATCAAGTAAACCCTTATAGGTACATTGTGGAGAAATTAGGAGATAAAGCACACAGAAACTAGTGAGAACATTGGTTTGCATATTAGACACATTTCTAATTGTTAGAAAAGATGCTTAAAGAGAATGAAATCTATATAAATTAGCCAAAATGTCTGGAAAGGCTTCAAATTAAAAAGATGCATATATATTTTGTTGTGTGTTGTTGTTACAAAACATTTACGTTTTGTAGCTTTTAATGTGTCCTAAATAGTGGTCATGTAAAGCCATAATGACTAAACATTTACGTTTTGTAGCTTTTAATGTGTCCTAAATAGTGGTCATGTAAAGCCATAATGACTAAGGTTATCTAACTGCATAATTTAATTAGTTATAATTAACTGCTTACCCTTAAAAATTATCTCTGCATATTAAAGCAAGTTATTGCTTTTGATTAATACCGTGGTCACAAGATAAAACACAAAACTGTAAAAATTAATGTAAAACGTATTCTTAGCATCTAATGAGACTTAAAATAATACGAAACAAGTTATCACCTTTGGTGCTTTAGTAGCTTATTGGAACCTTAAAGTATATTAACTGGGTTACAACTCCTGGAACTCTACATGAAGTTATGACATTTAACTGCATCAGACAGACCCCCAACTAACTTTCAAAACTTGCCAACCATACCTACATCAGGCCTTTCAGATTTGTTCTGATCAGCAGATCTCTCTCTAAGCAAGTAGCAGCAGTGACAACAGCCAGTCTGTTATTAA